TACAATATTGACTATTTTAAAACGATAACAATAATATCTTGGAAGATGTTAAAACATTGTTAGAAGTTATTTGTTAGGAATAGGGTAATGGAAGATAGGAAGAGGGTAATGGAGTGAAACTATTTTAAAGTTGTTATATCATTCAATGAAGTGGTAAAAGTTCTACTTTAAAGCAGATAGTAAAAATTAAAAATGCATATTGTGATCTCTATGGTAACCATTAGAAGAATAATAAAAAATGCAAGTAAAAAAAGCCATGAAGATCTCAAAAAATATTAAATACCTGTTAAAGTCAAAAGAAGGCAAGAGAGGAGGAATAAAGAATAAAGAACATGGGGTAAAGAGAAAACAAAGAACAAGATGGCAGCCTTAAACCACTTCAGGATACTATATACCCCTGCAAAAAATTGACTACACATCCCAACTGAAAAACAAAAAAGTAATTAATGATCACTTAATATATACTGTTGGGTAGTTAAAAAAAAGCTAACTGGTCAAATTATATATAGGTCAACAGTAGTTATATTAACACAACCTGAAAAGAATTGATTGGATAATGGAAAACTATGTAAATTAAACTCTGTTTTAAAGCCTGGAAATATTTTTGTTAGGATGCCATAAATCTAACATAATTTTAAACAACAAATTTTGGGGCACCTGGCTGGCTCAGTTGGAAAAGCATGAGACTCTTGATCTCGGTGTTGTGAGTTCGAATCGAGCCCCACACTGAGTATAGAGAATACTAAAATAAATAAATAAATAAATAAATAAATAGCAAGCTTTGGACAACAATTTTTTATAAGACGTACCACTAAAGATACTAAGTCTAAAGTAAACTGTGACAATATAATTTAAAGACTATGACTTCTTTATATGTAAAAATGTATTTTAAATTGTTAACCATAGAATGGTATTTATCTTCATTTACATTGACAAAACAACAGATGCATTTTACAATTTTCTATTTTTCAGCTACCAGAGCAATTATATTAACTTACAGAAACTCTTGTGTGTGTTTTTTTGTTTGTTTTAGTTTTAAATTGCTTTAAATTTATAGATAGTAGTTACTGTTATAGATATTCTCATGGGAATTACCCAAGGTAACTAAGAAAACCTAAAAAATACTGTCATGGATACAATGCTAACTTACAAAAACTAACTCAGAAAATATTTTTTTAACTTTACTTTTTTATGAATCGCACAAAACAGTGTTTGTTAATGATCTGGATGGGCTGACTGAGAATTCATTTTTCCCTTATCTACTTTTTTTTTACAATAAACTTTCATTTTGTTCTAATTAATAACTAAGTTATAGCAGAAAGTCCCAAGTCAATAAGTCTTTTCAGCAAATTATATTTTATCTCTATCTGGATAATCACTATATCTACAATACACCATAGTGAAAAATTATCTATGCTTAGCATATGAAATAGCAAAAAAAAGTTATTTAAAAATTGAGTACCATTAGTTCTCACGAAAATTTTGACTGAAAGAGTATTAACTATGTTTTTATTAGGAAAATATAATTAAAAAAACACTTTTCACCTAAACTTTAAAATAATGTATATGTGTATATTTATTTATATGTATATACACACAAACACACACATATTTTCTCAGATACAGAGAGTTAAAGAATACTCCTCTGTCCCTGGCATACTGTCATAACTTATACTTGAAATAGAATATTTATTTATTTTTTCATCCTTCAGCCTCTTTCCTGTTTTTCTATAAATATCCATTCTAATATATTTAATATAAGTACTTTGCCATATCCTCTCCTTGAAAAATATATACTAATTTTTTTATATATTTGCTACTAATTTATAAAAATGGTATTGCACTGTTATTCTCATTCTATTTAATATATTTTTCTCTTTAATCACAATGATATTTTTTGATGCATGAAAATGCATTCTATCCTTCTGACTCATAATATTCCAAACTAATATATTTTATTTTTCTTGTTATGGACATATAACTTGCCTCTAACTCTCAGCTACCACAGATATGCAAGAATTCTCCTTGTGAATATAAGCAAGAGTTTCTTGGGATACAGGCTAAGGTAAGGTAGACAAGTACATAGAGTATACGAGTTTTATAAGGTACAGCAAGCTTCTTGCTAGAATGGCTGTACTGGTGTACCATGTGATCATTCACCTAGAAAATCGAATCCTATCTACTGATCAACCATTAGAATGGAGTTCAGAAAAGTACCCATATATAGCATTTTAAACACATCTTTGTCCAAATCAGTCTATTCGATATTCACGTCACTTGTTTGGATATTCTGTGCACACTGAGATGGGCTTGGAGAATGTCTGGATTATCATAACCTGAGTCAGAGGGTGACTCCAATTACATCCAGCTTTGTATGTGGTATCTGCCAGAGCAAATCCAAACATGTACTGCTACCTGCTATCTAGCTAACAATTGATTGTCCTTTATCAATTAGTAAGGACAATTAGAAATATTTCACTTTCAGCTGGTAAGAATATCTTCACTGTTAGACCTCAGGGCAACTCTCCCACTCCATGACAGACAGGAGCCCTGATCATTTGGATATCCTACAGGACGCCATGCTGATAATAAAATATTGATCACATCATCCTAGTTGCCTTAGTAGACATGTTCATGCCTCTGGTGGGGAAAAATACTGACATTTCAAGTGCTTGACAATTCAGCAGGGGTTCTAAATGTCTAGTTGTCTGGATCTTAATGGGTTACTCTAACATAAAAGGCAAATTTCTGCCTTATGATGACCTAGCACTCAGGAAGAGGCATGATGCTTTTTGGGTCCCTTTGAATATTAGACAAAACATAATATACACTTGAGTGTTGCTCTAACCCAAATATAGAGTAGCCCCAAGGAGCTTTTGTATGAGAAAGAAAAGTCTGTAGCTTGGAATTTTGCAAACTGTTCTGATGTTCAGTCCAGATGACCCAGCTCATCCATTCAAAGGTGCCTTAGAGGACAAGTAGCAAATGAAGATGCTCTACAGAAACCCTGGGAAGCTATGATCTCATGGTTTGTGAGATAGAGCCCCGTGTTGGAGTCTGTCCTCACAGCGTGGAGCTGCTTGGGATTCTCTCTCCCTCTCTCTCTCTGCCCCTCCTCTGCACATGTGCGTGCTCTCTCTTTAAAAAATAAACATTTTTTTGAAAAATGAATTGCTTAAGTGAGCTCATGTACAATATCTCTGGTTGTTTACTTTGTGTGGCATGATACTTATCTATGATGGACCTACTCTGGTTCATAGGTAATAGCTAAAGGTGGCTGGTTGTTTAGGGATACAGAAATACATGAGTCTGCAAGGTTGGTGACAAGAAGTCTATTCAATGGCCTGGATAGATACTTATAGAACTTTCCATTCACATGAGCCCCTCATTACTCCTGAGATATTTCACTTGTATTGGGTTTTGTTTTGTCTTTCCAACAACTGAGTTGTTTTGATGGTGAAACAGACATGAACTTTAAAACCTTAAGATCTTCCTTAGCTAGGTTTTATTAGAAGAATCACTCTACACTATACCTAGCCACTACATGCTATATACACTAGCTAAAGCACATTAATTTCTCAAATACAAGAAAAGACTGCTGATCACTATAGATGTTTAGAAGAAAAAAGAACAGCTAGTTTACATGCAAACAAAGTGCTACTTCTTTTGAGCTGCAGCAAATAGCGAGCAATAGCCCAGATCTTTATTCCAAATTATAGTCCATCTGAGAAGAGAATGAGGCAATTAAGAGCACTATCCCAAAAGGAAAGAAACAGAGTTTACATTCTAAAGAGTAAAGCGATGTAAAATACTGAGGCTGCCATAAGATATTATTAGAAATAACTATTTGAGGGGGCACCTGGGTAGCTTAGTCGGTTGAGCATCTGACTTCAGCTCAGGTCATGATCTCATGGTCTGTGGGTTCGAGCCCCTTGTCAGACTCTGTGCTGACAGCTCAGAGCCTGGAGCCTGCCTCAGATTTGGTGTCTCCCTCTGTCTCTCTCTCCCTCAAAAATAAATAAACATTAAAAAAAAGAAATAACTATTTGGATTAATAAATGAATATAGAATTCTCAGTTTCAATTCATTTCAAAAACACCCACCAAGAAGCTAGTATTTGTCAGGGCATACAGTGGGCAACAGAATGCAAAAATAAATAAAATAATAGTTTCCTTTAATTTTAAGAGTTTTTCAGTCTGACTGCCAATTATCAAGCAAAGAGATATAGATGAAGGCTTTAATTTAACATGTGAAACAGTGACGGGGGCAGTGGTAGAAATGTGAGTTATAGAAGCAAGCCACTCAATGCTTATCATTTTGAATCAATGTATAGCCATTTTCAGCATTCCAGATTAAATGTATAGAAACTTCTTATCTAACCATTTGTTAAATACTTGCTTAATAGACAGTAACACAGATTTCATCATTTATGTGAATGCTTTTTCTCTCTTGCATCACCCAATACAGTAGACACTAACTATATGTGGAATTTAGGCTAAAATCAATTAAAATTAAAAATGGAATCATCAGTCACACTAGCCATATTTTAAACTTTTTTTTTTTTATGGCAAGATCTACTTTCGTAACAAAATTTGAAGGGTACAGTATAGTATTGTTGACTACAGGGAGAGGGAATTGGGGAAGTATTAACTAATGGCATAAAGTTTCAGTTGAGCGAGATGAGTAAGTGCTAGAGGTCTGCTGTACAATATTGTACGCTAGCCACATTTTAAGAGCACAATGACCATACATGCCTATTGCCCGCCATAGTGTATTATAGCAAATGTCCCTTATCACAGAAAGTTTTATTGGTCTCACAGGTTGTACTTATCTTCCTAATTAACTGAATAGGAGCAACTGCTGAGTTTTAAAAGTAATTAATGGTGATCTTTTTTTCTTCAATAGTGTATTTGGTTCTACCTAATTGAATACACTCTATTCTGTTGAAAATTAATGGCTTACTTTCTTTTCTCTTTCTGGTTGTAAAACAAATGTCTTACTTTCTTCTGTTGGCAAGTGTCTCTTCACCATTTCTTGGAGAGATCTTCATCCCATGCTTCTCTTTGCTTCCCTCAAAAGAACAACGGGGGCTTTGTGTAGGTGTTCTGATTGGACGGCCACAAATCTTACTGATCTTTCAAAGAGAAAATATTAAAAGGCAGTTAGAAACCTTCCTCCATCCTACCTGAGAATGTAATATTTGCTAGAGTCCAAAACAATGTAGTGTTCTTACTTACACTTCAATATTAACTTTTAAGACATAAAATGTTTGTTAATTTTCCAAAGGGGGAATCAAATTACCTGTATAAAATGGCAACCATGATTAATTGATGCTATGCACATATATATGTTTTCCATGTATATATACGCAAAGTACATGAAGCAAACATATGCAGAATAAGAGAAGTATATTAATAAACTTGCCTTCTTGTATAAATAAGACTACTTAACCAAAATAGGTATTTTATGGTTTATATTCAATTTATGACAATCACATAATTGTACTGAAATTTTAAATGAAATAATTTGCTATTAAATATGCAGTCTGTTTTCTAAATGAGTTCTAAAGGTAGTTTTCTTCTTAAGGTCTTTTTTTTTTATATTAGAGAGAGAGAGCAAGCGGTAGAGAGGGGGAGAGGGAGAGATAGATTGAGAATCCTAAGCAGGCTGTATTATCAGTGCAGAGCCCAATGTGGGGCTCAATCCCATGACCCCATGGATCATGGATCATGATGTGAGCCAAAATCAAGAGTCAATCATTCAATCAACTGAGCCACCCAGGTACCCCTTAAGATCCTCTCTTAAAATAATAATGAATACATTTGTATAGACATTTCATTTGGTAATTGTTCTATATCTTCTTCTTGTATTTTGAGAGTGTTAGTATAGTTGTTTTTCTAAAATCTAAAATCGTTTTTCTAAAATCAAATGAAAGGGTAAAAAACTTATCTAGCCAAGATCTTTATATAATTTACATAATTATCATTGAGAAAGTAACTAATTAATTGGACATATTACCATGTAGAGCATAAAAAAGACTCACACAATACCTTAAAGAGGTGGAGTACTTAAAGAAGTAGAGTAGTATAATTGCAAATACATAAAAACATTGCCTAGGAATCAGGAGACTTTGGTTCTTGTCCTAATTTTTCCATCTTAAGCACTGAAATCTTGAAAACAGTAGCAGAACTTCTTTGAATTTGATTCTCTTATATGTAAGATGAAGAAATTAGAGTAAATTATTCCCAAGTTCCATTAAATTTATCAATTTCTTTAATTTTCCATGCAATGAGCATTAAAGGAATTATGCACTAATTTGTTTATTTAACCCATATTTATCTTGTTTCTTATATTTTCAAAGAAAATGTATTAGAGGTTAGAAGAGAAAAAAGGCAAAAAACTGAATTTTCTCCTAAAAGAGAAAACTGAGCAGGCTCTGAGCTCTCGGCAGCATCCCATGCAGGCTCCTCATTGTCACCACAGAGCCCAACACAGGGCTCAAACCCACGAACCATAAGATCATGACCTGAGCTGAAACCAAGAGTCAAACGCTCAACTGACTGAGTCACCCAAGTGCCTCAGAGCAGGTAAATTGTGAACAGAGTCCTAAAGTAGTCCTGAGGGGGAAAAAAGTTATTTTGAACTGTAGTAGTGGCTATGTTCATGAAGAGAAAGATTCATGAATTATAGAGAGAAGTAAAATCAACAAGGCCAAATCCAGAACACAGACAACACCAAAAGTTATGGAAGATGGAGAGCAGGAAGAACTGTTATCCATTGCTGGCGGGAACGAAGAATGGTATAGACAGTTTGGAAGACAGTTTCGTGGTTTCTTACAAAATGAAAATTATCCATAGGAATTGAAAACTGATGTCCATACAAAGACCTGCACATGGATGTTTACAGAAGCTTTATTCATAATTGCCAAAACTTGGAAGCAGCTGAGATGTCCTTCAGTAGGTGACTGGGTAAAACTGTGGTGCATCCAAATAGCGCAATATTACTCAACACTAAAAACAAATGAGCTATTAGAAAAGACATGGAAGAAACTCAAATGCATACTACAAAGTAAAATAAGCCATCTGACAAGGCTATAAACTGTATGATTCCAACTATATGATATTCTAGAAAAGGCAAAACTGTGAGCACTAAAATTCTTAGTGGTTGCCAGAGATCAAAGAGAATATAGGGATAAGCAGGTTGAGAACAGAGGATGTTTGGGATGGTACAACTACTGTGTATGATGCAGGGTGGATACATGTCATTATAAATTTGTCCAAACAAATGGAATGAATATACAACACCAAGAGTGAATCCTAATATAACCTATAGACTGGGTGATAATGATGTGTCAGTTGAGGTTCATCAATTCCAAAAAATGTCTGACTCTGACAAGGATGTTGACAACGGGGTAGGCTATGCGTGAGTGGGCACAGGGGATAGATATATGGGGAATCTGTACCTTCTTGCCCAGTTTTGATGTGAACTTAAAACTGCTCTAAAAAATGTAATCTATTTTTTAAAAAATCAACAGGGCTTGGCAAATGACCAAAAGTGAGAAGTTAGGGAAGTGTAAGGCCAAGGTGTTAAAAGGCTCAAAGTGAATTTCCAAGAAGCTGAAAAATAGTGATAGTGCAGTGTAAATATATTTAAGTGTGAAAATATTTTCTTAATGGAAAAAAAAAGTATCTTCATTGTCAACAATTCTTAGTCACAAGAACCAAGGGAAGACAATATAAGTTGATGGCAGAAATATTGAGTGAGATTGTTTAATGAAACTGCAGAATATTTGAAATAAAGGAACACAGTAAAAAAGAAATAGACTGCTATCATGATCCAATGTGACTAGCGATAGAGCTCTAGGAAACTTCTAGGAATCTCGGCTCTCATCCTGTCCTTAAAACTTGAGAAAATAAAAACACTTTGTAGTTATAAGTTAAGGGAAATCTTATTTCACCCTGCCCTTCCCATGTTGGACTTAAAACCGTATTGGCTACTGACCATATTTCCTAGACAGGTAGATAGAAAGCTGAAAACACTAGCCTCACAAAATCTTTATTCTCATCATCTTTACAATTCTTTTTTGTATTTTGCTACAAATACAAAAGAAAATGTACAAGCCACAGACTTATGTTATCTTTGATTGTATCCAAAGGTCCAGGCATATATACAAGATTCCAACAAATACAAATAAATTTCAAAGCCTTTCTATTTGTTGACTTGCTACCCGCTACCCGGGGAGCTCTACTTCACACCTTATTGAAAGGGAATGGAAAGCCATCTGTTACTAGCACATTAGCCTGTCACCTTGGCCCCGCTGGGGTGAGCCGATTTGGGTGGCCCATTTCAATACCTTCTTGCTATAGAAAAGTCCTTCACACTTACTTGGACTATTTTTCATCTTTGACTTACACTGCCATTTCCTCCTTATCCCCCTCCTTGCTCTGTACTGTTCTCCCCTGCAATCAGTCTGAAGTGTCTCTGAAAGAATTGTTTCCCTTCTTAAGGCTAACCTACTCTTGCTTTAAGTTCATTCTCTGGCTTCCCACTGATCTTCAAGTTCCCATCTTACCTTGAAAGGCCCCTTTTAGTTGCCCCTAACCCAGGTCACTTCTCCCATCCTGAGCGAGTACTTGTTTTAGTACTTATCACCATGCAAACCTTCCCATTTTCACTATGTTCTTGCAGAAGGACAACTTCTCCTAGAGCCTCCCTTTTTGTTCATTCAGTCTTACTCAAGCCATCAAATTGCCAAAACTTTTAGTTAATAATCTAGAAAAGCTATTTGTTTATTTTTCTATCTATCTATTTATTTTAGAGAGAGTGAGTGTGTGAGTGAGGAAGAGGGGTAAGGTGGAGAGAGAGAGAGAGAGAGAGAGAGAGAGGATCTTAAGCAGGCCCCATGCTCAGTGTGAAGCCTTATGTGGGGCTCAATCCCATAACCCTGGGATCATGACCTGATCCAAAATCAAGAGTCAGATGATCAAGCGACTGAGCCACCCAGGCGCTCCTCAGAAATCTTTTTAAAGAACAATTTACATTGTTCATTTTCAGTTGACTCCCATAAGCAGAGCCTCTATTTCTTTTGCAATGGTCTTTTAAAATGTTTAGGGGCGCCTGGGTGGCGCAGTCGGTTAAGCGTCCGACTTCAGCCAGGTCACGATCTCACGGTCCGTGAGTTCGAGCCCCGCGTCGGGCTCTGGGCTGATGGCTCAGAGCCTGGAGCCTGTTTCCGATTCTGTGTCTCCCTCTCTCTCTGCCCCTCCCCTGTTCATGCTCTGTCTCTCTCTGTCCCAAAAATAAATAAACGTTGAAAAAAAAATTTAAAAAAAAAATGTTTAATAATAATTATAATTGAAGAGAAAACTGTATAGATCATCACTAGTTGAAAAGCAATGAATGTGGAGGTACTGTGAGTATTTACTAAGCGATCTGTTCATAGGATGAAACAGAGGTGGATGGATGCTCCACCACTATCAGAGGCAAAAAGATAGAAGGAAAATCAAAGCTGTTAGCAGTTTTGAATCTGTTAATCAGGGTGAACAAAGATCCAATAACAAGTATAGAAGGTAGAACAAGTATATCATTTTGGCTTCTCTGTTCCTTAGAGCAGGAGATAAATTCTCATTTAAAACTCTGATTTGGAGGTAATTCTAAAAGGTAGCTCTAAATGATGCATTGGAGATAAAAGGAAAGTTAATGAATAGAATCACCTACATAGAGTCAATAGTTAAAACCATGAAAATGGATGAAATGACAAAATGTATATAGAATGCCAAGAAGGTCGGAGAGAAAATCTTCTGGCAGGAGAAAAACAACTCTGAAAATAAGGTGTTGGGCGGGGAGGGGAAGAGGAGAAGGAAGAGGGACTGGAAAAGAGAAGGAGATAAAAGGATTAAGAGGAAGGAGGGAAGGAAAGAAGAGAGGAGGAGAGGGTGGGCAGGAGGGAGGACTCCAGACTAACAGAGCTGGCAGTCTTTTAGCTGGTCTCCAACCTTGAGGCTCCTGGGTGGCTCAGTCAGTTAAGCATCCAACACTTGGTGTCGGCTCAGGCCATGATCTTGCAGTTTACGAGTTCAAGCCCCGCATCGGGCTCTGCGGGGACAGGGCGGAGCCTGCTTGGGATTCTCTCTC